AGAGGATCGAAATGTGCAATCGGAGAGTGGAGTTCATTACATTCATTTATGCGTAAATACCCTTGTGAAAGTTATGAATCTATCTCCTATTCCCCCAGCTATGGGCTAAAGAGTAGGAATTGTATCCGGAAAAATCATTTTTATTTCAAAAACATTGTTAACGGAATATTCAATCGCAAAAAAAGAATTATTTTTACAAGAGAAAATATGTTACGGCTTTTAATAATCTTTTGCAGGTTATTTAAAGCCGAACCTGTAAAAAAATGTGTAATCGGCGCAATGTATTATTTATTGATTATTTTTAGAAAGCTAAATACGGTATTAATTAGACATCTCCCAAACGATTCTGATTGACGCCATATTTCCCTTTTTTTTCATACATTCTAAAGCTTAAAATTGCAAAAGTATTTTTTAAATGCATTTTTAAAAGATTTTTCGTAATCAGTAATTTTTTGTAATCTGTAGAAAAACAAAACAAAACAAAAACAATTCAATCTTTTATAAATAACTTTTTAGACGTCAGACATTTCAGCTTTCAAAAATGTCATATTTTAATATTTTTTTCTTAATATTGCATTTTTGAATTATAAAATGTTATTTCGTCTCGTCAAAGCGACAAGCTCTTGACTCTTACTCTCTGTATTTTGCAAGGGTCTCTCCTTGCCCGCATTTACTGCTACAGAATTAGTGTGGAGCAACACAAAGGCCCAACTTTCTCGTAGTATTGATAAAAAGTATTTTTATTTACCTCGCCTCACAATAACGTCTACAAATATATTTTGCAAAGGGAACAGTTATGAAGTTAGATAAAAAAAAATCACACAATCCTAAATAATATATTTGCCCCGGGATCTACTGTATCCTCAGCAGAACGGTAAAACCTCCACGTAACCGACCTGTTTTATCTATATATTATAAGAACCTTACGTAGACAATCTTTCTTTACTATCTATCTATCTATCTATATATGCTGTTTTTAAACTACAATTTTCCATGATTTTCTCACGTACATTCATATCTGCTCGAGTTGTATCCAAATGTGAACAAATGACGTCACCCATTATGAAATGGACAAAGTCCGACAATTATTTTAAGACATTTTTTATGTTTATACATTCTTTTTTTATAGATACAAATATTTAAGTAAATGCTCTGTTTATAATAAACAGTATTAACAACATTTACCGGCCTGAATGTCCGAGAAATTGTCATAGAAAATATGCGTCCTCCGACAGCAATCGAACCTGTATCCTACCGTCATAGAGCCTGACGTGCTTTTACCGATTTCGCCACAGAGGAGCGTTTTGGTTAGCAAGGTCGATTTTACTGTTTTTAAACTACAATTTTCCATGATTTTCGCACGTACATTCATATCTGCTCGATTTGTATCCAAATGTGAACAAGTGACGTCACACATTATGAAATGGACAAAGTGCAACAATTATTTTAAGACATTTTTTGTTTATACATTCATTTTATGTCTTAAAATAATTGCCGAACTTTGTCCAAGTCATAATGTGTGACGTCATTTGTATATATATATATATATATATATATATATATATATATATATATATATATATATATATATATAATAAAACTAGGTATTGGTTATCAATTCTAGGCCAGTTAACCATTGCTACTAAATAGCGAGTTCAGTTTTCAAATTTCGACAGTAAGTAACCCATCAAGTTTTGACATGTGCAACTAAGCAGCAACCGAAGCATTAAGCAAATAACTTTTCGATGATTAATGTGGAAACTACGAATTTGATGCCAGTCAATCGCGTTTTGCCACGTCGCTTCGTATCAAGTATCGGAATTTGATCACTACTCGACTGCGTGGAGCGTCTTTTGCTGATAAATCACCAGCATGGGACTTCACAAACCACTTTTGACACATTCGATTGCATCTTAAGATGAAAAACTTAATAGCCTGAAAATGCTGCTTAGTTTTCTTCCTTGTTAAAATTAACAATGATAAATTAATTTAATACAATCAAATGCGATATTTTTTCATTAAATCACAACTAAACACAACTAATTCCTGCGAATGAGAAAAACTAAACTATCTTTTGAGGGATCATTTCATAAAAATTACACGATGCGATAATGAAAAAAACACGGCGACCATAATGAAGTTGGTTGATTAAAACTGAAAAGTCTCTATTAACGCCATCTTAAAACAAAAACACAACAAACTTTTCAGCTCGCACAATAATAATGTTAAAGGCCAGTTCATGGACTGATATTATTCATAAAAGTGAAAGATCCACATCACTGATATGCTTTTTAATTATCTGTTAGTAATAAAAATCCAGGAGCGTTGAAAACTGTTGTTTAACTTATAGTCACTCTGATGTGGACGCCTGTCCAGATCCTGCAAACCGGTGATTTCTAGCCTTCATATCAAACTTTAAAATCGACTTAGGTAGATATGAACAGACATAGATAGATAGATAGATAGATAGATAGATAGATATGAACAAACCGAGATACAT